AAATGTTCCCGTGTTGACAGTATCGATAATAATCTGTTAATCATTGTACTGATGTTATTTTTATTTATTTATTTATTTTTATGTCCTGAAGGTCATTTTTTTTCTGTGCAAAGAAGGTCTGTGCTTCTTATTTGTTTTGAATATCTTCAAAAAATCGAATATCTTATTTGACTGTATACAGACGTTCATGCTTCCGAACACATACCCTCCCAAATACACCAATGCCACGCTCTCCACCGGTGACTGCCCTCCCTCACCCTCGCCTGCTTCTCTGAGAGTGGGTGCAGCCCAAAGGACACTATTATCTGACTTACGCATCAACTATCTCTCTGTTATCTGGTAAAAGGCCTATTTCAGAAGAACCTTCAAAGCAGGTCTGTACCTGGAACTGTAATGCGGTCAAGAGAGCTGCCTGGAACTACGTTCGCCATGCGTTTCCCTGAAAATAATTGCACACCTCAGAACGTTCGTCAGCCAATCCGATTCAAGCATTCAACGGCCCCCGTAGTATAAACACACACAAATACTGAAAGACACAGGGTCCAAAAACTTCAGACAAGACTTCTGAAGTCATATGGTTGACATGACTTTGAGCAGCTACACGAGACAGGAAGTGAATAAGCAAGCACAGGACATTGAAGATTTCCGGTGCAAAACTGTCTGCATGACTGCATGGTTTTTGTACACAAAAAACCCATTTGGAGTTTTGGAGGTGTAGGCAGAAACCTTCATAACAGAAATATTCTGGAGTGTGAACATACTTGGATAGACTCTCAGGAGCCATTTGGCACTCAATGGGATGGCACTCATGGCACCTTTTGGTGCCATTTGGCACTCATGGCACCATGGGATGAGTCCATAAGGCAGGAAGAGAATCAGCAGAGAGACCACAGCATGGACACCGTCATTGCAAAAAGACTGAAACTCACCACCATTCAAACTTTTCTTCAACTCATCGCGCCGTGCCTCTGATCAACTGGCACGGAATAATTTACTCTGATGGAGACCTAAATACACACACACACACGCACGCACACACACACAAATGCAAATGGAACAAATAATCCCAGCAGATATTTGACAATTCCAAGTATAGCTACTCTAAGAAGAACACTTTCAAAAACACTTATGCTCTTCTTACCATATTGTTCCAAAAACTCCACCATCTGTTGGAGCACCACAGGGAGCACACAGACATATGCTCCTGCCTCATATGTCCCTGTTTCCTCAGAAAACCAAGGGGGACGCCAAATACGCGCTTTAGCTTGGGTGATGTGGTCATAAAGCGGCCTGCAGGTACTGCATAGTAGTCTGAATCTTCACGTCAAGTCTGCAAAGTGAGTAGTTGAAACGTAGGTTCGGTATGTGATACCAAGCACTAAGGTTAATCTCAGACAAAAAAAATTAAAATAAATAATAATAAAATAAATAAATAAAAACATAACTCATATTTCACCCTGAAAACAAAATAACTAAAGTATGAAGAAAAGGAGGTCTGTGTTTAGGACCATGAAGATTTTGTTTTGCATCCGTAAAAGTCATTCTCAGTACCTTTTGATTTCGTATTAACATATTATTCGAAATATTATATTGTAAGGTATTTAAACGTCTTTCTAGTACTTGTTATCAGGAATTATGGCTAAGCTAAAAAAAATATCTGTATAGCATAATGTTCACATGTGTGTTACAGTAATAAAAATGTCCAAAAGATCCTATAATAGACACAAATTTAATTTCTTTATTTTTTAACATGAAATATGACATGGATCTTTATTTTTTAAATTCAGTTAATTATGAAGATTGATACTTGGTCAAGTCAGGTGGGCTACTTACCCAGCAGCACAGTGGCATTAGTTTGCGCATAATTCCCATACGTTTGTTGTTATTGTTCATCAGTAATCAAGATGTACTAGCTGAAAAACAGCTGAATCAAATTAATGAACTGTATCTGAATGTTCCGGCAGTGTTCATTGTGACATGTTTCCATGCATAGAGAACCACACAGATACTGTATGTGTGAGTGAGAACTACCAGTGTTGTGCATCTATTGTCATGTTTGACATTGCTTTGTTAATGAGATTACACTGTGGAACACTCAGCTGTAAATGTCCCATATTTACCATAATTTGATGGTGTCAGTACTGCATATTACAGCTTTACTAAAATGACACCCAGGTTTCATGACAATTACTTAAATTCTATTATTATTCTATTATTTCACAGCTAAAATGTATGTTCAATTTAATTTGAATCTACCTGTATTAAATATATGCAATATAGAGTTAAAGATAGCACATATACACATAAATAACATTTTGAAGTTTTTTCTTCAACCATTTATTCAAAACACCAACCACCAATTGAAACCATGTTTAACTATAAAAGCAAGTTAACATGTGAGCCAGTTAAATACTAGACAATTGTAATGTAAAATATAAAATGTAATATACAATATGAAATCAATAAAAAACTCTTTGATTTAAAATTATGTGTAATTACATGTATCTAAACTATGATCTATACATTTAGGTACAATAATCAAATGGAAAAAGATGTGACTACTTAAGACATATATATGCAATATATAGCCTAAATTCATAGAATATCTGTAGCAACGTCCTCAAAATGCCTGCAACAACTTATCTGAGAAACTACAGTAATGTGAAAATGTTTAGACACTTGTTTTTTAAATAATGCCATGGATAGTTTTTATTTATTAATTCATTTCTGTTAATATGTTCAATCAAATGAAGTAGACATATGATGAAAACAGTATTGTGCATGGAGATGTATAGCTGAGACGTGTCCAGAGCTTCAGTGTTATATGCACTGGACCAGCTGATGTTTTGTCAAACATGATTGACAAGTGTGAAAATGTGTTCAGTAAAATTGAATGAATGATGTAACAAACTAAATACTTTAAGCATTGATCAAATGTATTGCTTTAACTGAGAGTAAATTAAATGTACTGTTATTCATAGTAGGCAGTGGAGACAAAGGAACAGGCTACTCTGTAGGACAGTGTCAATCAGGTCAAATGCATGGAGCCTAGAGTCTGTTTAACAGAAAAATAAGAAAGATTTCAGTACTAGTTATACAGAGACCAGAACAAACAATGTAACAGTCACGAGAGCAAAACTCACTTTAGGGACTCCAGTTTGCAATTTGTATCTTCCAGAAGATCGGACAAGAATTTCACTGAGTTTCCAGGTTTATTCAAGCTTAGGTTCAGTTCTCTGAGGTGTGAGGGGTTTGATCTCAGAGCTGAAGCCAGAGCAAAACAACCTTCCTCTCCGATACTGCATTTACTCAACCTGCAAAGAGAAGAAATAAGAAAACAGTGTGATGTGGTGGCTGATTTGTATAAAAAGAAAATTCTGTTTGCTAAAAAGTCAATGTCATTACTATACTCTTTCATACTATTCATCCTTCAGTATGCTTCTGTTTTCTGTTACTCCAACTTCGTGGTAATCACAATCCCCTCTATTTATCAAAGGGATAGTTCACTTCAAAATTGAAAATGCTGTCATCATTTCTGACCCTCATGTCATACCAGATCCAGAAGACATTTGTTCATCTTCAAAACACAAAACACACATCTCTGCCCTTTCACTGAAAGTTCATTCACCTAAAGATTTGATGCTTCAAAAAGTTATTATA